GTTGGCGTTGGTGTTGGTGTTGGTGTTGTTGGTGCTGGTGTTGTTGGTGTTGGTGTTGTTGGTGTTGGTGTTGTTGGTGTTGGTGTTGGTGCTGGTGTTGGTGCTGGTGTAGGTGTTGTTGGCGTTGTCGTTGTCGCTGTCGCTGTCGCTGTGGTTGTCGTCGTTGCTGCTGCTGCTGCTGTTGTTGTTGCTGCTGCTGCTGTTGTTGTTGTTGCTGTTGTGGTTGTGGTTGTGGTGAGTAGAGCAGCTTGGGAAACTCCATGCGCATACGCGATAGGTTAGTCATCCTGCTCCTCCAGGGAGCTTGTGTAAACCCTAAACCTCAGACTGCGGTCTGCTCTACCAGGCTGTTGGTTAAGCGGGGGGAGGGGGTGCAGTGGATCCCTACACGAACTCCTACACAAACCCTTATGTGGTACCTGTTTTCCTTGGACGATTTCCCCTCACGCACCATTAAGTCAGCCTCAACCCTTCTTCCCGAGTTTAGAACCTAGGAGAAGCTTCCCGTGGAGCGCAGAAAACTTTTCCTGCCAGAGCTTACGCAAATGCTCGACCTCATGCAGGTGGGGACACACGGCTGCTGGGGTTACTGGAGAGTAGAACGCCTACTTATGATACGTTTCCTGTAGTTGAGAAAGCATAGATGAGACATCCCTTAAGGGCACGAGAAGTTTGATGTCAGGCTTGCTGTCGTTGTGTAGCGGGTTGCATGCATGGCAGGTTGTACGCGCCTTGGAACTCAGGAGTTGTGGGGTGTAGAACTGTGTTGCTTAGGGCCTTATGGTTTCGGCATGACGCGCTTAATTAGGATTAAGCGCTCGCAGGTATTTTCAAATAGTGTCCCCAGCAAAAAGTCCCAAGAACTTCAGCCACATAGGCCTATGCAAGGTAGGGACTCGGGGGGGCTGGGCCAGGAGGATGGTTCAATGTCATGGATTAATCCCGGATTTGTGGATTTCTTTTCGGTTCACCTCTTCAGGGCTTCAAGGGTACAGTGCGGCATTGTATCCTAAACCCTAAACCCTAAACCTAAAGCCTTCAGCTTTGAAGTTTGGATGCGTCAGAGAGCAATCTAATCCCAGGCATCCCCCTTACCAAACATGTGGATTCTTTAGTATATCCGATGCATTCACGGCCCGCCCCTCCCCCCCAATGGCCTGTGGTCTGGGTTGGTGGTTCGATTGAGAGGCTTAGATTAAGTTTAGACAGGCTTCTGGTAGTCATAGAGGTTTTCTATACTTTTTAAAGCAGGTTTGCAGGCGCTTCATTAATCGCATAGCAGGTGTTTAGAGGTCTCAAGAGCTTTTCTGACGGGGTTTCTAGAGGGATAGAGTTTTATACAGATCCTATACAGATAGACTGCTTCTTCTAGAGGCTTTATCAAGGTTTTCATACGTTTTTATAGAAGGTTTATCGGGGTTATAGCTTTTATAGATGGCTTGCAAAGGGTTCGGGAGTTTTCTGGAGGGTTCGTAGAGAGAGTTTATGAAGGTTTCACAGAGGATGTAGTGGAAGCGTATGAAGCTAACCCATCCTGTGGTCCTGTGGTCTGGGTCCTCTGGTGGGGGTTTATAGAGGGATATAGAGGGTTTGAAAGAAGGTTTTAGAGAGGCTTTACGGAGAGTTCATGGTTCTGGGAGTTTATAGATATGGTTTATTCCCAAAGGGGGCCCATACCATGGGGAGGGAGGGGGGGGTGGCTGAGAACGCGCTGCAGGGATGCCTAAGATATAGGGGGTTGTGTAAGGGACCGCTATAGGGGCCATGAAGGGGACCCTAGGAGCCGAGACTACAGCTCATATAAGCTAAAGTCTAAATTCCTTAAAGGGGGTTATATGGGGGATTATATAGGGACTATTAGAGAGGTTGTTAAGGGGCATACTAGGAGTTCAGATTGCAGCTCATATGATCCCCTTTGAGCCCCCCAACTTCCTAAAAATATCGTACATGTCACGAGTCCTTTGTGTGTATATGTGATGGTATGGCTGGCATTCTTTTGAGCCTAGCATAGGGCAGGGATTTTTACGTCAATCACGCACTGCTCTGGAACCCGCTCCTGATAGTCCAAGTACCCAAACTGTGGGTCTTGATAGGTTCCAAATACCATACTTTGAATGGTTGTTGGTAGTAGAATCGAATCTTGACTTGACCGTCTGGGGTGCACCGTTGAGCATTCAGGCCTAAGTTATCCTAAGTTCTGTTCTCTGTTTTGGCTTTTGCGTTACCGACGTCCTCAACGAGGTAGCTGCAAAATTGCTAGTAGATCCCAACTCTTCCCCCGTCCACGCGCGCGCTTTCATTCTCATCACAGCAAATTGCAGGTGGTGGAGCAGCACGCAGCTTTGGGGTTCGTTGTGGAGGCAGGTCCTCCAACTTCGACGTTATGACACCTAAGTAATCGGATGTCCTGTAAAACTACGCCCCATAAATCCTGAGCAAACTAAAAAAAGTCCCCTGAAGGATTGTATACATTACATGTTGTTTTGATAAACTCCATATCGGGATACACGGGGATGTACAGCAGTTGCCGTTTAGGGTGTACACTCCGCAAAACAAACATGGAGTGTCACTCATCACCTTTTTCGCAAAAAAAAATGCACTCTCAGGGTGGGTTCCATGTTTGCGAAATGATCCCCACGACTATGTGACAGTAGCATAACGTAGCATGTCATAAAGGGGTTGGGAATGCATTTTTCCAGGGAGAAACTTGCTGCTTTGGGTGCTTCAGACTCTGTGAGCTGTAGTCCAAACCCCTAGTATCCTCCTTGATAACCCCTATACTAGTCCCCTATACAACCCCCTATACAACCCTAAACCCTGAACATTAAACCCAAAAATACGGGCTAATGTAATCCCCACATAACTCCTTCAAGGAGTTTTTAGACCCTGAACCCTAAACCTTACATGACCCCCTTTAAGGAGTTTAGATTATAGCTTATGTTGATCAGAGCCTCAGGGCCTAGGGCCTCCCCAGACGGGTTTCGGGATTTAGGGTTTAGGGTTTAGGGGTTTTGGGTTTAGGGATTTACGAATTCAGGGTTTAGTGGGGGTTCAGGGTTTGGGGGTTTAGCGGTTTAGTGTTGAGGGTTTAGACATAGACGTCAAAATTTGTGGCCGCCTCCTTGGATCCCAAGGTAAGCAGCCAACACCCATTATAAAGATCCCGATTCCTAAGCCCGAAATGCCGACCTTCGATCAGCTAACAGTTTTCGAGCTATTGACACGACCCCCTCCAAAAAAAGCCGTGAAATCCGTGTCAAGGTAACTTTTGTGGGAGGTGTTACCATGAGCGTACTTCACAGAATATTTATATGGCGCCTTCATTAAGTAAGGGACCCCAGTGAAGACACCAATATACTATTTAGTCCCTATTGTGGGGAAAGCCCTAAACCCTAAACCCTAAGCTTCAAACCCCCCATCTGATGTAGATGTTCAGTTCAGTTTCTGGTGAGTGCAAGTAGCCCTAAGGGTCCAAGGACCCAAATAATGGGTTTTGGGGCCCAAATACTATGATGTTAATTGTATTTGGGCCCAAAAGCCCTATTATTTGGGTCCTTGAACGCTTAGAGTAAGGTTCCCTAGTGAACTTCTGGCTGCATTTCCTGGAGGCTCCCAGTACACCAACATCAGGGTTTCGGGTCCCAGATGCTATAATCTGCATAGTTGTTGGTAGCTTCGCTTTCTGGCTTTTGGACCCTTGAGGGTCCAATTGTCCAACTATTGGGTGTTGCAGGTACACGAACCGCACAGAGTACGGTAATTGGGACGTGAAGCTCCATAACTTGGCCAGTTGGACCTTCTAGGGCCACCTACCGGAGCAAACTTTATGGCCTCGTTAAACAAACTCCCACCCTTAAACCAGTCCGCACGAAATTGCCAGTTAAGCAGGTGCTCCACAAGGGCATCCAGGAAGAAGAGCATCGTGAGAGCGTGCAGCACAAAATCGCCGAGTTGTGTGTCCCAATCGAATGGTGGCAAGTACAGCCCCCGACTGTGGTCTAGCATGGCGTTAGGGCTGAATGTACAGGAGGTAAGCTTCATTTACGAATCCATTGCTTTGGTGATCCTGTTGTATGCATGGGGACATGTATTATTGGTAAGCGTATGCACGCGGCATGCTTCAGTCGGAGCCATAAACGTGACTCCTACCTGACCTGACTATGAACATGGTTACTGCCTGGAACCATCCTCGTATTTCCCCATAACAGGGATGCCTAAACTGCTTCCACAAAATTATTGTACATCCCTAGAGTCTCTACGGGGCCCCTTGTTTTATCCTACAGTCAGTCAGGTCGAGGACCACTTTTTCGTGGAGTGACGCCATTGCCAAGGGCACTCGCTCTATCAGTATTGCAAAGGCACCAGACTGGTGGGATATGATTGAGCGATGCGACCTGAACAGGCCGCCCCCTGTGGCAAGAACCCCAGTCCTTCCAGCGCCATTGCCAGAAACCCGACTCACCAAGCTCAACCACGACCGCTCCTGCCACAAGTATCCTGCTGCCCCAGCCGGCGCACGCGTGGGCACTGCGCTCGTCAAGAAGCTCGGCCTCAACCTATCCTCGTATGACTACGTTTGTGGCACGTCCTTCATCTATGCCTTGGCTGGTGACAGCCGGTACCTGAAGGACGATTTCTACCTTGAGTGGTGCGAGGAGACTTGCTGTGTCTTGCACATCCCTTCGCATAAGCATAGCCAAGACACTGTCGGGCACGCGGTAGAGAGTCCCTGGATTGTTGTTAAGTTTTTTTTTGGTATATTGTGTTGTGGCACACTCCCATGAAGAAGCACCCATCGGTATACGATTTGAAGTACCGGTACCCATATGGTATATCCTATGTTGCTACAATGGGCGTCAGACTGTATGGTAGTTTCCGTAAATCGGGGAACCCCAATTAAAACCTCGCCGACATGTTTTAATCCTTTTTGCACCTCAGAGAAGAGGGACCCGAATTTCTTCAGAGGTTTCTGCTGCCCGCTATACCAATTTAGGATATACCCTTTGGGTACTTTAAAGCAAGAGCTATCCGTGCCTTGCTGCTTGCGCCACTCTCACGTCTTGGGCGCACATGACTCTAGTGGGCCCAAAGAAATCATTGCTGGCCCTAATTTTACGCCCCCCCCCCTCCTCTATTTGCCCGCGCTAAATGTCCGCTCACCAGAATGTGCTGTGTATTGCAGTGTTTTGGTGGTTGTGGATGTGGTCGGAGTGAACGGTATCATGGGTGCCGGCATGGATTCACTTGTTGTGGATGTGGTCGAAGTGAACGTTATTAATTATGGGTGCAGACATGCAT